CTTCAAGACATTTTCACAAATATTTGTTATATACATATATATACAAGTTAAGTGAACAACAACGATCGCAGCGAAGCCAGCTCTACAGGAAGTCAATTAATTAACGTCGAAAAAATTTGGTCGAAATATTTCGAGAAAAAGTTTCGTGGATTATACGAGAAGTCTGGAAATTAAAATCGAAAATTTTCACGTTTGACGCCATATTAGAGTATCTTAATTGCTTATTGATTGAGATTGGGAGTTAAAGCAGCTGAAACGATCAAAGAGGTTTGTGAAAAGTCATCGTAGAGACTTTAATTCACCGAATCAGCAAATCAGAAAAGTGAAAGCACTTCCAGGAAACACACACCCTCAAAAAATTCTCAGAACATCATTTTTGAGAAATACAATTTATTTTTTCTTAGCGAATTTCTGGATTATAGAAGCGCTTGATCGACGAAATTGGACACTTAAGCCTAGAAGTACAGTTATAAATAACATTTGATACTATACAGGTGAGATATAGTGTGAAAAGTGATCATAAGAAAAAATAAAAATTTGTGGGCATAACCTAGAGAAAAAATTAAATATTTAGTGCTATTTTACTACTTATTCATAAGTCTCGGACAACTATACGTCATCCCCCGGTTGTAGATTCGAGCATAACTCAGTATTACTCACGCAGGGTGTTTAGTCTGAGGTTTTACTTATCCATACATTCAAAAAATTCGAGTCGTCAAAAGATTCGCAAGATCATCAAAAGATTCCATCATCTACGGCACAAAACGTCATTCAAAGGACGTTTCAAGGTTCAATACAAGATTCGGACCGTCAAAAGGTCTACAAGCCGTCAAAAGGCATCATAATAGTGTCTATTAATTATTTCTTTCAACACGTGTCATTATGGATACAGCAAAATCAGTGAAGGAATTAATTGAAGCCAATAATCAATGGATTAAAAGCTACATGTCATCTAATCCAGGCGCCAATGAGATAGTTAACTACATGATATCCGACAAGTCACTCAAAACCGGATTTTCATGTGCTACAGGCAGTAAATGTGAAAAATTGCAAAAGGAATGTAAAGATCCTGACAGTGAGGAACTAAGAATGTTCTTATTATGCTTTTCTTGCAATAGATTGTTTCACCAACGATGTGCAAAAGTTAAGGAAACAGACTTGACTGATGACAAAACTCCCTGGATCTGTCAACAATGTTTAAATAATCCCCTTAATGATTATGCAACTCAATTCTTTAAGTCAGAAGGACATAGATTATTTCTAAAGGATAGATTAGAGAAATTTACAACAGAAGTAGAATTGCCATCACCAATACGTGAAAAAGGCAAAGACGAAACAGATCGCGAATATCTTGAATCATTTTTCGATATTTCCGAAATAGAAAAGTCGCTTCACATCAGATTTGAAGGCCTACAGCCTATTGAAATTTCTCGTGTATTAGGTACAAAGCTCATCAATCAACAACAACAAGTTGAGTCTATAAAGCAACACATGTTACAGTCAGAACGTGAGAAATTGGAACTCAAAACACAATTGGCAAAGAAAACAGAAGAAAGTGAAACATTCTCAACTAAGATGCAACAATTGGAACAATCAGTACATGAAAGGCTTTATCTACAAGATTCAAAGCTTCAAAATATTCAAGTCACTTCAAAGCCAACAGGAGTGATACAGAATCCTCCTTTATTATCGTCAACTATGGTGATGAATCATCCTTCTCACCAAAATGGATTTTCCGCAATGGATATGCAAATTCCCTCTACTTCAAGCACATTGAGACAGTCTCATGTTAAAGAAACAGCAAGAAATGCATCAAAAATAAAGGAACTGTCATATAGCATAAAATTTCTTAGTGCAAATGATATCATAGAGCAAATTTCTCGCGAATTGAATCAGCAAAATGCATTATCGTCAAATAACGTTCCTAATATCAGTAACAGCATTCCAGGCAATCAATATTCCGCAAGCTACTCACTCCCAACAAATGAAAATCCAACAGAACCATTTAGTCTACGAGACATACGCAAATGCTTACCAAAAATAGAGAAGTTTGATGGATCGGTAGACAAGTGGCTAACTTTTGAACGAGCTATTGAAAGGAATGTGCGTGAAGGACAATATTCTGACAGTCTCGCGAAAAATATAATTCGTCAAGCACTTACAGGACAACCATTGGAACGAGTTGACAGCATTTATAATTTCTCATCTGCTTCTGAAATCATGAACTACTTGAAAGTCAGTTATGGATGTTCAAATAACATAGTGGCAAGTGCAAGGAAGAAGCTATTAGCTTTAAAGTTATCCAGACCACTTACACATTCGTCAGCAATGGAAGTAACGACCAAAATTACTTCATACATGGCAGCATGCAAATATGCTCAACTTCCAGTTCTAGACATGAGTATTTCAATGCACATTCACAGTCAACTGGATCAATTGCATCAACAGCAATATTACAAATACTTTTATGACAAGTATCCAGGAATGACGAGAACTGAAAGACTCGATGCACAATTTGAGTTTTTAAATGAACTTGCAAACACACTGCCGATGGGAGATCCAAAATTGAACGACAAGAAGGATGCAACTGCAAAGAATTTCTCAGTTTATTCAACATCATACAGCAGTCCAAAGTATGAGACACCTAATAAGCCATCTAATAGCAAGTTTTCAACTAAAAATAGTAATATGAACAAAGGCGAAAAAGATGACTTTAAGTACGAAATAAGAGATCGAGAAAAGGCTCCATATTTAGGATATGACATGGAAAAAGTGAATGCATTAAAGAAGAAATGCGAGATCTGTAACAAGCTGAATCATTTTTCGCTTGAATGCAGTGAATATCGCGCAATGCCTATGGATCAAAGACACAACTTCGTTAGAAGCAAAGGAATTTGTAGTTGCTGTCTTTTAACTACCGAGCATCCGACAAATGAGTGCAAATTGAAACTGGGATGTGGGTTTAATATTGACAGCTTTAGTAAATGTTGCCAAAAACATCACATCACTCTTCATCGAGGCAAGTCTTTTCAACTAGGGTTTCTGAAAAACGGCATTTTCGAAAACGGCCGTTTTCCGTTTTTTATTTTCAATAACGGCCGTTAACGGTCCGTTTTAAGTTTTTTAAATAACCAAATATAAATGAAATATTCCTCAAAAGATAAAGAATTGCTGTGCTATATGGGCAATTCCACGGATTGATTTTTCCAAAATATTCATCTTTGAATCGAATTTTCTCTTAATTAGAGAACTTTGCAGCTGCAATTTTTTCACAAACTTATGTAAAACGCCGAGCTCTTTCATTCTATCTAACTTACGCATCTTGTCATGCCTTAATTAATGAAATATTTGGATTTTTGTGAGCGTTGGTTTATTACACAATGTTGAATTCTGAATATGAAAGCAGAAATTTACCACTTTTAAGACTTTTAGACAACTATTAATGTTGTCTTTATCGTCAACCGTTCTATCCTCTTCTATGATTCTGCATACTTAAATTGACTTGAAAGACACTCAATAGACAGAAAAATGAATAATTTTAATGCAATTAATGTAATATACCAACGCTTAAGGGCGATTCCATGAGTGAATTTTTTTTTCTCAACTCAATTTTTTGTAAATATTTCCTTAATTAACTTCATTTAACGCCATATTTAAGATTTATTTTATTTATTATTATGGTATTTATGTATTTTAGTGCATAATCTTTTAGTTAAATCTGTCTGACAAATGATATTTTAAAAAAACCAAACTTAATCGGTCAACTTTACAAAAAATTGATTTTTAAATTTTTATCAATATTTCTTTGAATATCCATTGTTGTGTTACAAATCTATGATAAACACACGTGAAATCGCCTGTGCTTTATAACAATATCTTATTTGTATGTCTTACTACTGTAATTAAGGAGAAAATTGGGGAAAACACCACTTAATCGGTCAACTTTCAACCGATTATTGCAAAACATATTACATATTTTTGTCAAAAAGCAGCATAATTAAGACGATTAAATGCTAATAACACATGAATTGATGAATAATAAGTCTTATTTAGTGAAAAGATATGTTGAAATATGTATATTTAAGCAGAAAAAGCTAAAAAAGTTTTTGAACAAAAAATTTTCAGTTCCATTTACCCATGGAATCGCCCTTAAGCCAAATCCGTGAGGAAATAATTTTTAAAAAACCAATTTTTACTTTAATTAACAATAATTTCTTTGATTAGAACCTTGTTTTTAAAAGTTTAATAGTCAATGAAGATCTTTAACTCGTTTTAAAAAGTGTAAGCTTAATTAAAGTCTATTTTTGAAGCAATCAAATTTTTAAAGAAAATGGATCAAAAATTTATTTTTTTCGAAATTCAACTCATCCGTGGAATTGCCAATATAGATAATATATAGATTTCTATTTATATTTATTTTAACTGTTTATTCATTTATATTACAATAAAACTCAAGAAAAACAAGAGCATTTAGTGATGCATCAGCCAGCCTTGAACGAATCTTTGTGCAAAAATTATTGCAGATTGAAAATATTCGCTCTACATCTGTAGATGTCGGCTTAATACACAACAAAGCATCATAAAGTTTTTGAAGATTTTCCGATCGATTTCCTGTATTTTTTATAAAAATTGATAAAAATCAAATATGAAAAACCCGTTATAAATTCTTGAGTCCAGATTTAACAATGATTACATTTCTGATTCTAATATATTACTTGAAATGAGATTTTCAAACTTTCCAGGCAATCCATAATAATAAATCTCAATTGCAGAAACTTTAAACTGTTTTTGAGAATAATTTTTAAAGGAAATAAACATAATTTTTTTTAAAAATTACATTGTATGAACTATGAGAAAACGGAATGAAAAACGGTCGTTTTCCGTTTTCAATTTTTGTACCGTTAACGGCCGTTTTCCGTTTTTCGTTAACGGCTTCAGAAACCCTATTTTCAACCAAATAACTTGTACAACCGGTTCAAACATCGTAGAAATAACAGCAGAAGTGATTATAACGCAAACAGGAATTCAACACAGAAAGATCCTCCAAAACCGACACCTTCAGCTCCACCAGCTGAAAATAATCCATCAACAAGTTCACAAGTTTCTGCTAGTCAGCAACCTAATAGTCCATATCAAGGCTATTCAGTTAAGACAGTTTCAATAGCAAACCCAAATGAGAATCCAGAAAGAGGATATCGTATGTGTTACGCGTGCAGTCATCAAATGCCCGAAAGTTCACAGCGAACTGTGAAACTGTTTAACACATTTTTGTACGGTAAAAATAAAAAATTACAGAAGTCCTCGTGTTATTGATCGAGGGACTTAAGCGCATTTTTGTGTTAGCGATCAGTATTTGATTATGTAATTATTTTGCGTTCATTTACAGATCATGAGAAGATTAGAAGATCATTAATTTTAGTGTAATTAACAAAAAGTTACAATGAATGCTTATATAGAAAGGATTATTATTTAACGGTCAATAAATAATTTGAAATTTTGCCGTTAAAAGTTGCACTACGAAAATATTAATTATAGTATAATTAAACAATTTGTTGCAATAAATTTCCATACAGAAAGGGTTTATCATTTAACGGTTTTTTTGTAATTCAAATTTTCTAAAGGTCAATAAATAATTTGAAATTTTCCCGCTATAAGTTGCACTACGAAAAAATTAATTATAGTATAATTAAATAATTTGTTGCAATGAATTTCCATACAGAAAGGATTTATCATTTAACGGTTTTTTTTAATTCAAATTTTCTAACGGTCAGTAAATAATTTGAAATTTTCCCGCTATAAGTTGCACTACGAAAAAATTAATTATAGTATAATTAAATAATTTGTTGCAATGAATTTCCATACAGAAAGGATTTATCATTTAACGATTTTTTGTAATTCAAATTTTCTAACGGTCAGTAAATAATTTGAAATTTTCCCGCTATAAGTTGCACTACGAAAAAATTAATTATAGTATAATTAAATAATTTGTTGCAATGAATTTCCATACAGAAAGGATTTATCATTTAACGATTTTTTGTAATTCAAATTTTCTAACGGTCAGTAAATAATTTGAAATTTTGCCGTTAAAAGTTGCACTACGAAAAAATTAATTATAGTATAATTAAACAATTTGTTGCAATGAATTTCCATACAGAAAGGGTTTATCATTTAACGGTTTTTTGTAATTCAAATTTTCTAACGGTCAATATAATAATAATTTGAAATTTTCCCGCTATAAGTTGCACTACGAAAAAATTAATTATAGTGTAATTAAATAATTTGTTGCAATGAATTTCCATACAGAAAGGATTTATCATTTAACGATTTTTTGTAATTCAAATTTTCTAACGGTCAGTAAATAATTTGAAATTTTGCCGTTAAAAGTTGCACTACGAAAAAATTAATTATAGTATAATTAAACAATTTGTTGCAATGAATTTCCATACAGAAAGGGTTTATCATTTAACGGTTTTTTGTAATTCAAATTTTCTAACGGTCAATATAATAATAATTTGAAATTTTCCCGCTATAAGTTGCACTACGAAAAAATTAATTATAGTGTAATTAAATAATTTGTTGCAATGAATTTCCATACAGAAAGGATTTATCATTTAACGATTTTTTGTAATTCAAATTTTCTAACGGTCAGTAAATAATTTGAAATTTTGCCGTTAAAAGTTGCACTACGAAAAAATTAATTATAGTATAATTAAACAATTTGTTGCAATGAATTTCCATACAGAAAGAGTTTATCATTTAACGGTTTCTTGTAATTCAAATTTTCTAACGGTCAATATAATAATAATTTGAAATTTTCCCGCTATAAGTTGCACTACGAAAAAATTAATTATAGTATAATTAAATAATTTGTTGCAATGAATTTTCATACAGAAAGGGTTTATCATTTAACATTTTTTTGTAATTCAAATTTTCTAACGGTCAATAAATAGTTTGAAATTTTCCCGCTATAAGTTGCACTACGAAAAAATTAATTATAGTATAATTAAATAATTTGTTCCAATGAATTTCCATACAAAAAAAGTTTATCATTTAACGGTTTTTTGAAATTCAAATTTTACAACGGCTAGAAATTTTTTGAAATTATAGAGGTAATATTGAAATTATAGAGGTAAAATAAAATTTGAGCAGGTTACACTGAAAACAAAACAAAAATTCATTAATTATAGCATAAATACACTGTTTTAAGATTTTTAAATGTCCGGCGGGCCAATAACTCGATATAACGGAACTAATGCAAAAAACTAGAACTCTCTACGATGTCTAGATTAAAAGTTTTTCTTAGCGGCCGACCAGCCAGCCGACCAGCCGACCAGCCGACCAAAGTGCGTTATTAAGCTACCTTTTTGAAACAAGTTTCAAAAATGCGCTAAAAAGCAATTGGATATGCTATTGGAGATTCTGCTGCTGAAATTACTTTGGTCAAAAGAGAATTAATAAAAGACCTTGAGTCCATTGAGTTACTATGGACGGATTCAATAGTCAAAACCACACAAGCTATTAAAGTTAATCTCCAAATCTCAGGAGTGTTACCTGGTAGTGAAATGCTTATGCTTAATGAATGCTATGCCATTGATGATTTACAGCTTCCACCTAGATCCCTTAATGTTGAAAAATTGAAGAAACAATTCCCGTATCTTAGAGAAGTTCCCGTTGAATCATATTATGATGCAATTCCTTGTGTATTGATTGGATCTCGTCACGCACATATGTTTGAAGCCATTGAACCCGTAAAACAAGGAGGTAGTTGCAAACCTGTAGCACTTAAATGTAAATTAGGATATACAATTTATGGAGGAGCACCAGAATGTCATCTAACAGACACATATGCTTTACAAGCAGTTGCAACTCAAAGTATTCAGTGTGAAGAACTCACCAATGAGCAACTGGATAATAATTATGCATATTCATGTTCCATTGAAAGTCTTGGCATCAAGCACAAGGATAATTATCTCACATTGGATGAAAGAAAAGCTATGGGTTCGTTCACTTATTACGTAACGCACTAGGGGGGGAGGGGGGGTCTAAGATTTTGTTACGGTTTGTTACAGGGGGAGGGGGGGGTCTAAATTTTGTTACGTAACTTTTCAAAAAATATATTTTTTTATAATTTTTTCTATATTAATTTTAAATTTTTTTAACGTTAAATTTTAACTTAAGAACTTTTTAGCAGAGATCGAAGCCGATTTTTTCGGCTTAACTCAATTTTTATTATTATTACATGCTTTTTATTGAGTTGCTCTGTCTGTTGGTTTCTTTGTCACGTTCAAAACTTGCAATCGATTTTTCGACCACTTCTGCTGCTCCAATCGAGCTCAAATTTTTTATTCACACGTATTCCCGGTGACAATACAATATTTTAACTTTTTGAAACCACAAAAATGCTTAATTATAGTAAAATTTAAGTAAAACTTTTTTATATGGGAAAACAATCCAATGTCAATGATATAAAATTTTGATTTGTTTAAAATATTATATTTGAAATGCTCAAAAGTCATTTATGTGATTCATTATAGTTTAATTAATATTACTAAATATTAATTACACTATAAATTTGAGCAGCTAAAGATATTCCGGTAAGACAAAAAAATTGACATGTAATTTTTTCATAAATATTCGTAAGTGAAAATTTGAATTTTCAAAAAAACCGTTAAGCACAAGTCCGTTACGAATTAATGCAAAATAACTATTAATATGAGATATGCATTTAGCACACATAGTTTGAGCATATATTTATGCTGTTTTTAATGTATTACATTATTTATAAAACTTCACCAACTTAATTAAATTTACTTTTCTATTTATTAACGGCTTGAAGTATATTTGTATATAAACACAAAATCTCCAAGATTCATTTTTAATGTCCTTTACTAATGAATGTTTTAAAAGCACAGAAAGCGCACATAATTGAAGTTCAGGATATTTTTTAAGAAGTTTCATCTGTTTCCAGGTATGACTTAAATTTATTCTATAAAACAAATGAATGAAAAAATGTAATCTATAAACAGTTGAACGAAACGGAGTAAAACGAAGTGGAGTTGAATTTGAATTGCTGTGGTCGATATTCGATTGAAAGATTGAGACTAAAAAGTAGCAAATAAAAAAAATGTTAAAAAAACTTTTTAAAAAACACGCTTTTTCCCAAAGACTTAAAAAACAAATAACATTTTTTCTTGAAGTTAAATCTGTTGTTAAGAGTAAAAACCAAGCGACCAAAACAGGAGCAAATAAAAAAACGTTAAAAAACTTTTTAAAAAACACGCTTTTATCAAAAAGATTAAAAACCAAAAGGTTGAAAATAAAATAAGATCACACTTTTAGCAAATCAGGATTTTAAAAGTTTTCTTGTGACAACTAGAAATGTAACATAAGTTTTTTTCAAAAAATTGTGATTAAGTCCAAGAACACAATGACTCTAAAAGCGTGGGGCGTAATTTAAGGATGAATTTCTTAGTTCAACTAAGTTCTTAAGTAAGAGAAGGTCAAATCTCAAAGCCCCACGCTTTTAGAGTCATTGTGTTCTTGGCCTTAATCACAATATTTTGAAAAAAACTTATGTTACATTTCTAGTTGTCACAAGAAAACTTTTAAAATCCTGATTTGCTAAAAGTGTGATCTTATTTTATTTTCAACCTTTTGGTTTTTAGTCTTTTTGATAAAAGCGTGTTTTTTAAAAAGTTTTTTAACGTTTTTTTATTTGCTCCTGTTTTGGTCGCTTGGTTTTTAGTCTTAACAACAGATTTAACTTCAAGAAAAATGTTATTTGTTTTTTAAGTCATTGGGAAAAAGCGTGTTTTTTAAAAAGTTTTTTTAACATTTTTTGATTTTTTTGATAGAAAAAAGCCATTTAACACCCATTTCAAGTATTTAAGTTGAACTTTATGTGCTTTACTATGATTCTGTGTAACATTTTGTCAGCATGTAGCTATAGGAAGCTCAGAATTTAAAGTAAGCCGATTTTAAGCCGATCGGCTGACAAAATGTTACACAGAATCATAGTAAAGCACATAAAGTTCAATTTAAATACTTGAAATGGGTGTTAAATGGCTTTTTACTATCAAAAAAATCAAAAATTGAGTTAAGCCGAAAAAATCGGCTTCGATCTCTGCTTTTTAGTTATAAGTAAAACTGTTTATTTTACATACTTAAAGGAAGTATAATAAACATTTGATAAACAATTTAAATGAAAAAAATTATTGTTACGTTATGGGGGGGGGAGGGGGGGTCTAAGATTTTGTTACGCTTTGTTACAGGGGGGGGAGGGGGGGTCTAAAAACTCGTTTTTTTGCGTTACGTAATAAGTGAACGAGCCCTATTGAGATTATTGAAGATGAAATGAAAATTCTGAGTGATGGCTCAGTAGAAGTACCGCTTGTTTGGAATAGAGACATCAAAAAGACGATTCCTAAAATCCCAAACAATTTCCCAATGGTCCTTAAACGTCAACTAGCTCATGAAAATAAGCTTAAAAAAAAAAAAAAAAAAAAAAAAAAAAAAAATGATGAAGTTTCTATAATCAATTTTCCACCAAAAGCTGAAACTTTAAAGCCTATCAACGCACCTGAAGTTCGCGATTCACCTGAAAGTCCATTTGAGGATATCGTATCAGACTCAGACGAGGACGTATTGCAGATTGATTTAGACGTAGGAAATGCAGTTGAAGAAGTTGAACTATAGAATAAAGTTATAATGAATTAATCCCTTAGAATCACTTTGTTTCCCCCTTCGGAGTATGTCATTAACGCAAATGACAGACCTTTAACTGCCTTTCTTATTAGTACTAAAATTCAAACTCATATAGAAATGTTACTGCATTAAAACAGTCCCCTGATTTTAGACCCCCTTAAATTGATACATGCCTCTTACATTTTACACGTCATTGAAGACGGACGCAAACAGCAAATATTGTAAGTTTAATTTTAATTAATTAAACCTCTTGAACTAATCAATAAAATTTATATCACACTATTAGTGTGAACCCCCCCCTAGCTATAGAAATAAAGCTGAATTAAGGAAAATATTCTGGTTTTTCAATTACAAGCGTGTTCGCAAAATAGCGCCCTTAAATCCGCTTCAAGACACTTATAATTTTTTTGAGCAAAGAACCAAGTAGGAAATACATTTTCAATTTTGGACTAGGGGCGACCCTAGTCAAAATCAATTTTGTCACTTTTTTCTTCGAGGGTTTATCCAAATGGATTGAACTTTTGCATAAATATTCTAGAGCTTAAAACAAATACAAATGAAACATCCTTATAATTTTTTTGAGCAAAGAACCAAGTAGGAAATACATTTTCAATTTTGGACTAGCGGCGACCCTAGTCAAAATCAATTTTGTCACTTTTTTCTTTGAGGGTTTATCCAAATGGATTGAAACTTTGCATAAATATTCTAGTGTTTAAAACAAATACAAATAAAACATCCTAAAATTATTTTGAGCAAAGAACCAAGTAGGAAATACATTTTCAATTTTGGACTAGGGGCGACCCTAGTCAAAATCAATTTTGTCACTTTTTTCTTCGAGGGTTTATCCAAATGGATTGAAACTTTGCATTAATATTCTGGTGCTTAAAAAATACATATAAAACATCCTAAAATTTTTTTGAGCAAAGAACCAAGTAGGAAATACATTTTCAATTTTGGACTAGGGGCGACCCTAGTCAAAATCAATTTTGTCACTTTTTTCTTCGAGGATTTATCCAAATAAATTGAAACTTTGCATAAATATTCAAGTGCTTAAAACAAATACAAATAAAACATCCTAAAATTTTTTTGAGCAAAGAACCAAGTAGGAAATACATTTTCAATTTTGGACTAGGGGCGACCCTAGTCAAAATCAATTTTGTCACTTTTTTCTTCGAGGGTTTATCCAAATGGATTGAACTTTTGCATAAATATTCTAGAGCTTAAAACAAATACAAATGAAACATCCTTATAATTTTTTTGAGCAAAGAACCAAGTTGGAAATACATTTTCAATTTTGGACTAGGGGCGACCCTAGTCAAAATCAATTTTGTCACTTTTTTCTTTGAGGGTTTATCCAAATGGATTGAAACTTTGCATAAATATTCTAGTGTTTAAAACAAATACAAATAAAACATCCTAAAATTATTTTGAGCAAAGAACCAAGTAGGAAATACATTTTAAATTTTGGACTAGGGGCGACCCTAGTCAAAATCAATTTTGTCACTTTTTTCTTCGAGGGTTTATCCAAATGGATTGAAACTTTGCATAAATATTCTGGTGCTTAAAAAATACATATAAAACATCCTAAAATTTTTTTGAGCAAAGAACCAAGTTGGAAATATATTTTCAATTTTGGACTAGGGGCGACCCTAGTCAAAATCAATTTTGTCACTTTTTTCTTTGAGGGTTTATCCAAATGGATTGAAACTTTGCATAAATATTCTAGTGTTTAAAACAAATACAAATAAAACATCCTAAAATTATTTTGAGCAAAGAACCAAGTAGGAAATACATTTTAAATTTTGGACTAGGGGCGACCCTAGTCAAAATCAATTTTGTCACTTTTTTCTTCGAGGGTTTATACAAATGGATTGAAACTTTGCATAAATATTCAAGTGTTTAAAAAAAATACAAATAAAATATCCTAAAATTTTTTTGAGCAAAGAACCATATAGGAAACACATTTTCAATTTTGGACTGGGGGTGACCCTAGTCAAAATCAATTTTCTCACGTTTTTCTTCGAGGGTTTATCCAAATAAATTAAAACTTTGCATAAATATTCTAGTGCTTAAAACAAATACAAATAAAACATCCTAAAATTTTTTTGAGCAAAGAACCAAGTAGGAAATACATTTTCAATTTTGGACTAGGGGCGACCCTAGTCAAAATCATTTTTGTCACTTTTTTCTTCGAGGGTTTATCCAAATGGATTGAAACTTTGCATAAATATTCTAGTGCTTAAAACAAATACAAATAAAACATCTTAAAATTTTTTTGAGCAAAGAACCAAGTAGGAAATACATTTTCAATTTTGGACTAGGGGCGACCCTAGTCAAAATCAATTTTCTCACTTTTTTCTTCGAGGGTTTATCCAAATAAATTGAAACTTTGCATAAATATTCTAGTGCTTAAAACAAATACAAATAAAACATCCTAAAATTTTTTTGAGCAAAGAACCAAGTAGGAAATATATTTTCAATTTTGGACTAGGGGCGACCCTAGTCAAAATCAATTTTTGCTCCCCCTAGTCAAATACAAATGAAACATCCTTATAATTTTTTTGAGCAAAGAACCAAGTAGGAAATACATTTTCAATTTTGGACTAGGGGCGACCCTAGTCAAAATCAATTTTCTCACTTTTTTCTTCGAGGATTTATCCAAATAAATTGAAACTTTGCATAAATATTCTAGTGCTTAAAACAAATACAAATAAAACATCCTAAAATTTTTTTGAGCAAAGAACCAAGTAGGAAATACATTTTCAATTTTGGACTAGGGGCGACCCTAGTCAAAATCAATTTTGTCACTTTTTTCTTCGAGGGTTTGTCCAAATGGATTGAACTTTTGCATAAATATTCTAGAGCTTAAAACAAATACAAGTGAAACATCCTTATAATTTTTTTGAGCAAAGAACCAAGTAGGAAATACATTTTCAATTTTGGACTAGGGGCGACCCTAGTCAAAATCAATTTTGTCACTTTTTTCTTTGAGGGTTTATCCAAATGGATTGAAACTTTGCATAAATATTCTGGTGCTTAAAAAATACATATAAAACATTCTAAAATTTTTTTGAGCAAAGAACCAAGTAGGAAATACATTTTCAATTTTGGACTAGGGGTGACCATAGTCAAAATCAATTTTGTCACTTTTTTCTTCGAGGGTTTATACAAATGGATTGAAACTTTGCATAAATATTCTGGTGCTTAAAAAATACATATAAAACATTCTAAAATTTTTTTGAGCAAAGAACCAAGTAGGAAATACATTTTCAATTTTGGACTAGGGGTGACCATAGTCAAAATCAATTTTGTCACTTTTTTCTTCGAGGGTTTATACAAATGGATTGAAACTTTGCATAAATATTCAAGTGTTTAAAAAAAATACAAATAAAATATCCTAAAATTTTTTTGAGCAAAGAACCATATAGGAAACACATTTTCAATTTTGGACTGGGGGTGACCCTAGTCAAAATCAATTTTCTCACGTTTTTCTTCGAGGGTTTATCCAAATAAATTAAAACTTTGCATAAATATTCTAGAGCTTAAAACAAATACAAATAAAACATCCTAAATTTTTTTGAGCAAAGAACCAAGTAGGAAATACATTTTCAATTTTGGACTAGGGGCGACCCTAGTCATTATTTTGAGCAAAGAACCAAGTAGGAAATACATTTTCAATTTTGGACTAGGGGTGACCCTAGTCAAAATCAATTTTGTCACTTTTTTCTTCGAGGGTTTTTACAAATGGATTGAAACTTTGCATAAATATTCTAGTGCTTAAAACAAATACAAATAAAACATCCTAAAATTTTTTTGAGCAAAGAACCAAGTAGGAAATACATTTTCAATTTTGGACTAGGGGCGACCCTAGTCAAAATCATTTTTGTCACTTTTTTCTTCGAGGGTTTATCCAAATGGATTGAAACTTTGCATAAATATTCTAGTGCTTAAAACAAATACAAATAAAACATCTTAAAATTTTTTTGAGCAAAGAACCAAGTAGGAAATACATTTTCAATTTTGGACTAGGGGCGACCCTAGTCATTATTTTGAGCAAAGAACCAAGTAGGAAATACATTTTCAATTTTGGACTAGGGGTGACCCTAGTCAAAATCAATTTTGTCACTTTTTTCTTCGAGGGTTTTTACAAATGGATTGAAACTTTGCATAAATATTCTAGTGCTTAAAACAAATACAAATAAAACATCCTAAAATTTTTTTGAGCAAAGAACCAAGTAGGAAATACATTTTCAATTTTGGACTAGGGGCGACCCTAGTCAAAATCATTTTTGTCACTTTTTTCTTCGAGGGTTTATCCAAATGGATTGAAACTTTGCATAAATATTCTAGTGCTTAAAACAAATACAAATAAAACATCTTAAAATTTTTTTGAGCAAAGAACCAAGTAGGAAATACATTTTCAATTTTGGACTAGGGGCGACCCTAGTCAAAATCAATTTTGTCACTTTTTTCTTCGAGGGTTTGTCCAAATGGATTGAACTTTTGCATAAATATTCTAGAGCTTAAAACAAATACAAGTGAAACATCCTTATAATTTTTTTGAGCAAAGAACCAAGTAGGAAATACATTTTCAATTTTGGACTAGGGGCGACCCTAGTCAAAATCAATTTTGTCACTTTTTTCTTTGAGGGTTTATCCAAATGGATTGAAACTTTGCATAAATATTCTGGTGCTTAAAAAATACATATAAAACATTCTAAAATTTTTTTGAGCAAAGAACCAAGTAGGAAATACATTTTCAATTTTGGACTAGGGGTGACCATAGTCAAAATCAATTTTGTCACTTTTTTCTTCGAGGGTTTATACAAATGGATTGAAACTTTGCATAAATATTCTGGTGCTTAAAAAATACATATAAAACATTCTAAAATTTTTTTGAGCAAAGAACCAAGTAGGAAATACATTTTCAATTTTGGACTAGGGGTGACCATAGTCAAAATCAATTTTGTCACTTTTTTCTTCGAGGGTTTATACAAATGGATTGAAACTTTGCATAAATATTCAAGTGTTTAAAAAAAATACAAATAAAATATCCTAAAATTATTTTGAGCAAAGAACCAAGTAGGAAATACATTTTAAATTTTGGACTAGGGGCGACCCTAGTCATTATTTTGAGCAAAGAACCAAGAAGGAAATACATTTTCAATTTTGGACTAGGGGCGACCCTAGTCAAAATCTAGTTTTTCACTTTTCCTTCGAAGGTTTATCCAATTATAGTAAAACTTTGTATGAGTATACTAATATTTATACAAAACAGTTTTAAATATCTAAAGCAAGAAATGTATTCTATATGTCGTCAGACCCAAATTTTATAAATTTGGTTTTACATATAAAAACAACGTGACTTCTCATTGAGAGAAATAAGGAATTTTATCTCAGCATTACTTAAAATGCATAAATAATAATTCTCATTCAATATTCGGAATATTGTTCCATTATTTTTGATATTCTTGAATACATACATTTTTTAACTTTAAAACAAAATCAGTCAAAATACTACCTGACTAAAGACTAATCTGAAAATGTTGAGTCTTAACAAATTTGCACAAACATTCAAATTAAAATACGATTTCAACATCCAAGAAGAAAATTTAAATATTTTTTGAGGCATCAAGCAATAAAATCAGGCTTCATAAAATAAAGTAAATTAACTCGAATTAAATTACATTAGCTAATACTGATATATTAGTTGATAACAGACATAAAAAAAGCAAACATAAAATCTTTGAGCTAAGTGATCAAAATGTAAATTTATGACGTTTAACAAAAATTTCGCACTATATGTCTGCATTAAATTTTTATATTCCTTTTCTAAATGAAAATCTATCGCATCATTAATTAATCGTTTGTAATAAATTAAGTGTTTTTATTTATATTTTTGCAAAAAAATTAATTTAATAAGAAGAAAAAAAATCGGGTGATAAGAACAAAGTCGAGACGAGATGCTGAAATATGCGACTAAGATAGTTGACCTACCTATGTCTATATATTATAATTTTTATTTTTTTGGAATTAAATTTTTTTGCGCTAAAGCAAACGGAATATAATGATTGAATTTTGTAACATTTCAAACAGTGTTGCAAATGTAGATGTCTACACTAGAGGAAAAATGTAGATTCTTTCCTAGAATTTATGTAACGCAGACACAATCTTTATGTGGATCAATTCTATACGCAAATAGAAAAAAAAATCTTTCATATATTTTCTCTTCATAAAGACAATTTTCAACCCCCTCTAAAGCGAACTGACTATGACAATGATTAGAAAATGAAGAATATTTAAGGTCTATGCAAAAAAAATAATAAGTACAAGAATTTAATTAGATCATTAACTGTTTCCAGTCATTTTTATTATTCGTTTGAAAATCATTAGCAGTGAATAATTAATTTAATAGAACCCTTCATCGATATCATCATTATCTAATTTGATGTCCAACGATGGGAATTTTGCACCTTCTGTGCCGCGAACTTTTAATTGGTAGCAAACATGTTCTGTCTTTAGCGTTGACATTTTCATTGTTGATATCTTTTGAGAAAAATCTCGTCCATGATTTGGAACAGATCCAATGCTAAGGAAATGAGCATAAATGTTTTGCAGAAATTTACAGGCTTTAAAGCAGTTATCAGTCTCTCCAGATCCCAACGAATTTATACAAAATCGCATGATTTCTCCAGTATTGTCTGCAAAACCTAGCATGTATTCTGCAGGTGCCAAATGTAGAGATATCTCATCTAATTCATCATGTTTATATTTTAGTCGTTCTTTAATAACTTCCCAGTCTGAGCACTGCTTATCAGAGAGAAACTCGTAAAATGTCAAGGCTTCAATAAACTCTTGAAGTGCTGGAGAAATAGCACGCATATATTGAAAGATTTCATGTCCTACTAATTCATATGCAATTGTAGCAAAGTTTGAATTTATTACTTTATCTAATCGTTCTTTAGCTTCTGAAAGTACGGATTCCTTGTTGTTCTTTCTGGAACCGAAAAAAGATTCTTTTAAAAGATCAGAAATAATAAATTAATTGAATTTTAATTACCTTGCATCAATATTATGAAGAAGAAAAATGATTCTCTTGGACTCTATTGTAATATCACGACTTAGTTTTACTAATTTTTCGTGCCTATCATGTTTATTATCCAATTCTTTGCGGTAAATTAGAAAGTTCTGAATCACTGGGTTGTTTGATTTAGACTGTTCACTATCATCATCTTCAATTCTTCTTTTTTCGCGAAAGTTTTTGAAATTTCGTGGTCCACGAAACGCCATAACGTTAATTTAATTAATTTAACTTTTATCACCAAAACAATATGAAATCTGCTCAGGGGGGAAAACAACTTGATAGAAAAACAATACTTTAATTTGAAATAAATCTAGCGTGGAAGTTTAAAACTCATAAAATTGTTAAGGTTTCAATTTAAATCTAAAATCAATTGTTTAATTATGTTAAGCAGTAAAGGATTGTTAAGTATTTATACTTCGAGACATTTAAAACTATTTAATCGATTATTGTCAACAAAAGTTGCTAAAGAATTAAAATTACCAAAGAGAAAAAGCACTGTAACAGAAAAAGAAGTGTATAAATATTTTAATTATCCAGAAAGAAAATTGGCTCACAGCTTTCCTGAGACATTTTTTGTAAAGAAAAGAGGAAAAACTCCAGATAACTTTTATATAGCCAGCAATGTAGCAGCATCAACAATAGCAGATTCAATAAAAAAAGACTTGCCAGCTGACAAATTAATTATGGAAATTAATCCAGGAATTGGATTATTAACGGAGAAGTTAATTACAGAAACTCACAATGATTTATTCCTTTATGAAGCTCATGAACAACTTTTTGATAAACTGGCTGTAAGTTGCCAATACAAATATTATTATTATTATTTTTATTATGGTCCATCAGCATATAGATATTTAAAGACCTGCACTATTCCAAAAAATACAATTATCGCAATTATCTATATTTTTTATGTGTCATCTCTTGGGTAGATGTTAAACCTCCGTTGCATTTTAATCAAAACATCTTCTTGCTCTTTCATCTGTTCCTCTTCTGACTCATCGTCAGAATCTTGATTCTCCGTTTTAGCAATGTCATACTTGAGAAATAGTTTAAATCGATCTGCATTTGTGTTTGGGGTTTCTGCAAGTTCGTCCACGAAGTTGCAGAAATCATTGATTGTCTTCTCTATGAGACATATTTTTACAGAATATTTCATCTTGAGCCACTTAGGCTACATTTTAAGTTAAAATTTTAACAACCTCACAGTCACATTCTTTACATTGCTTGTTATCACGTTTTTCTTAATTTTTCGTTTTATGTCGAGAATTATAAATCTCTATACTTTTGTACTTTTAATACCTTAAGGTAAATAAACCAATCTATCTATGTCTGGGATTTTTTTCAACTTTTCCTGAGCGAAAGTTAATTTCTTGAAAAGTCCTTCAATATTGACTGCTTCTTGGAGCTTCTCTGCGTAACTTATTTGACTTGATATGACCGAGCTGTAGGATGCAGCTTGACTTTTCTCGATCACATTATTGCACGTAACTTTTCCTTGTTTCGGCAATTGTTGAAACTGTTTTGATGATAGTTCAATTGCATTTTTATAATTGTTGCCTTTGGTTCTAATGCAAATATACAAATAGAAAATCTGATTTATGTTGTGAATGTTTTCATTTTTAGATAATATTACACAAAAGTCAGCACCGGAAGATATCACTTAAACAGTGTGACTTTATTGGACTTTGGAAAATGGGATATTTAGATAAACTAGACGATGGAAACCGCGTAGAACTATTATTTGATAAAATTCAAAGAAAGGAGTTTGATGACGATACTTGTGCTCGATTGTTTGCATGCATTGGGTCTGCAAAGTTTTTCAAAGATTTCATTAATTCCATCATCTTTCAAATTGGATTTTCAGCTGTCGGTCGGTTCGAAATGTTTCTCTGTCTTCCTCCTCCTATTTTCATCGTAAGCATTTCATATTCCAAAATCATCACAACAATGTTTAAATGTATTTCTGTCTTTTTATCAGCAACTAGCTGCGTCACCTTTAGCAGGCTACTTCCTCTATCGCCCAACATCTGTTTTATTTCAACTTCTTTTTGAATATGAATTCATAACGAAAATTGATAGACGACAGTTTCTGCCTTGGAGAGCAACGCCAACTAATTCGCCCAAAGTAGGAAAAATCTTACTTACTGACTTTGACTATATGTACTTAATTAGAGTTGTTCCAAGAAAAAATCTCTTTCAATATTGTACACCCAATCATTTACCAGCTCTTTGGTTTTATGTAAAACAGCATTTATCGAGTAGAAAAAAACAAGTTATACCGACATTAGAGTAAGTTTATGTCTAAGGTGCGCGAAGTTCGTTTAACCGCACCATAAATCCTTCAGTTTTCACTTTTATAAACACTTTAAGGATGGCATCTATTTATTATTTTTAAAGCTGTTTCCAAGTATGTTTTAAATTAGTAAAGATAAGTCAGCTAAAGGTTGTGCCTTATTAAATTAATTAATTTTTTTATAAATTACAACAACAAAGTGCAAAGTTTCCACATAGAAAAAATAAATTTCAAAAAAACTTCATTCATTAATGTTTTTAATGATCATTTTTAATTTTTCTTCTTAAGGAAACACTGTTTTAACTTTATTGAAATGAAGCAATAGCTTAATACAGGTTTTTTTGAAATTTATTTTTTTTTGTGGAAATTTTTCACCACAATCTAAATCTTTCATAAAATTTTCAAGTTCTATTAGTCGTAGAACTATGCAGTTTTCTGTTTCATGTCAAGTTTAATATGATAAATACGGTTGGCTATTCAAATTCCATATGACATGTACAGTTTTGTCAAAAGTTGTTAATGATTATAACAAAGTGGTGAAAAATTTTCACCTCAAACATATTTTTCTCAAATTTTTGTCCTAAAACCAATAAAAGATGAAGACATTTGTGATTCATTTAATACTTTAAACCATTTTCTACCTAATTTAGACAAAACAATTACAGTTTCATGAAAAATAACAGCAAAAATTAATTTTGAAGATATTTTCAGTAAGACAAAATAAATGAAGGAAAATCTCGTGAAAAACTTTATGGAAAATTCTGGAACTGTCTGCAAACAAAGATTTTTGTTGCTTAAATACTTTAAGAATAGAATAAGGACAATAAATAACGTTTACAGCTCAAAATTTTAATATTTTCAAAGAACGAACTAAACGAACTTCGCACTTTGTTGTTGTAATTTATAAAAAAATTAATTAATTCAACAAGGCACAACCTTTAGCTGACTTATCTTTACTAATTTAAAACATACTTGGAAACAGCTTTAAAAATAATAAATAGTTGCCATCCTTAAAGTGTTTATAAAAGTGAAAACTGAAGAACTTATGGTGCGGTTAAACGAACTTCGCGCACCTTACACTAAGTCTGTCACACTAGAATTTATCATTTTGATATTTTTAGACGATGGATTCCTGGCTGTGGACCAAGATTAATTGTAAATGCAAAGCCAATTAAAAAACCAGAAACACTTTTTCCGTGCAATGAAGCGACTAGTCTACCATCGTTTGTAGCTCCTTCTACTTCATTAACGGTTAATGACTTTGTTGACAATATCAATATCTTCACGCAGTTTGGAAACTTAACGCCAACACAAATTTTAACAACATTTAATGAGTTTATAAATTGGCCAGAGTATGAGAGCTGTGCCTTTGTTGATGTTTTAGAAAAGGCACTAATGAAAATGCATACACGACCAGAAGATGCAGATGATGTTCTAAGTGACGACGATAGCGAAGAAGATCCAAAGAATTTTAAAGAAGGAAGTTAGAAAACTATTAAATAGAGATTCACAATTGAAATAAAAAATTGGTGTGAATATGATAAAATTAAAGTCACTTTATATTTTATTTTTAAAAATCTTTGATTAAGAAAATTAAGTTACTCTATCGTAGATATACATTTGTCTTCTTGTGATCTTTTTCCAGCAAACAAACAGTACGATCCTTTCTCATCAACGGGAACTGAAGTGTAGTTGAGAGGAGTCGCTGAAATTTCTTCTTCACCAAAACGATTGCCAAAATTAATGGTGCATGTTAATTGTAATGTCGATGAATCTACTTGAACAATTAAATGTTTTGGACAACCTCCGTTTTCATTTAAATTCACACATCGTCCTTTAAAGTAAACTTTCTTTCCAATACATTGGTTTCTCATGCATTTCGGAGAAGCCTTTTTAGGTGGTAAAACCAGAATCTCACCATTTTTGCAAGGACCTTGAATGCAGAAAATTATTCATTACAAAATACATTTAATTTTTCAATTTTAATGAAATCAATACCTTGTTCGTAGACTTGATAACATTTCATTGATTCTGGATGATATGCATATACTGGCTTACAATCACAGACCCAGTCTTTTTCATTATCACCTAGCAAAGAATTAATGCCATGATTTTAAAAAGAAGAAAAAACTTGATTTTTTGTCTTAACCTGGATATAAGAATTCTCCTTCTAAACATTCGTCTGACTCAATCGGTTGTCTATTCTAAAATACCAACAAAATAATACGTGAAATAAGTCATATCAAATAAAATGAATGCACATGAATCAAGTGAGGAAATAAAATAATTGTCATAGGTCATGTCGTTTTACCACTTAAAAATTAGTTATGCAAAGATTATTTAAAACAGTAAGATTGAATGACAAGCAAAGTTCAAAGGCGGGGTTAATATAGAAAAATACCATAAAAATCACAAAAGAGATTAAAAGTTTAATAAAGAGCATGAGATAATAGCTTACGTGTTTTGTTGGCTGTTTAGTTTTATCAGTTTCCACACCTTGATAGAGAATCTGCTGAGCAATGCAAACTGTTATGGATAAGAGTATTGTAATTAAAATCAACAACTTTTTATCAAACATATTTCACTTCTTGATTCTACAACTTCTCTCTTATGACTGAAGATTTTAGAAGAAAAAGAATTTTTTTTAATAATTTAATGTACGAGAGAAATCAACGAAGTAGCTGATAATGAATTGAGTCGAAATTTATTTTTCGAACGTATGCAACATGAGAAGAAGACACATCATAGTGTGAATGTTTAAATGATTTCTTGAATAAAACTTGTTTTAAAACATGTTTTATTCGGAATTCCCATCCTTTACTTAAGTATTTTTACAGTATTTTATAGTATGCATTTAATTATTTATTTATTGTCGTCCACTGTTATCACATTTTCCGTAGTAAAATCTTGTGCTACCAATGCAGCAATTATTAGCACATTTGAATTGGTCATCTTCGTCACGACAAGTTAATTGTAGGGTTGTGGGATCAACAACTAAATGAACTTTTCTTCCAATAATTTTTTGGTATTCCTTGCAGCCTTCTTCACCATTAAGTGTACTACAACTATCTTGGAATCTAACTTTTCCAAAATCACAAGAATTTTTTTCACATTTTGGAACTGAACTTTGATGTGATAAAGTGAGTATTTCCCCATGTGGACATGGTCCTTTGGTATAAGCTGGGTAACACTTTTGTGTAGCTGGATAGAATAAAAATGATGGTTTGCAATCGCATCTAAAATGGAACAAAGGAGTTGGTAATAAATGATTTCTTTTTTTTATATTTTGATGAACTTACACCCAATCAGCATCATTATCGCCGGGATACAAAAGTTCTGAATTTGTATCGCATCTACCTTTATCTAAAACTGGTTTTCTATTCTGGAAATTTAAACAAAGTCAATGTTAATACTAGCTTATGATTTTGAGAAATCATCAATTAAGTTAGCAGATTAAGCACAAAGACATGAGAAAGATTAATAACATTTCAAAATTTAACAAAAATAACAAATTCCTGATAATACTTTATTTATGAAACAATCTCGACTAATTAATTCATATTAACTTGCTAAATAAAAAATCCTGGGTTATTCATTTGGAAATTCCCTCTGATAAGACTTCATTCAAAAACTCGTACAAATGAGCTAAACAGTTTCTCTTAAACTTATTCCAATAAGTTTCTCAATTTTCAAAACGTAATTTCGTTTTTTTTTCTCAAATATTATTTTAACGTACAGCATATTACTTACATGAGTGGCAGTTCTGTTCTTATTTGTGTCTTCCGTTTCGAAGACTATCCCAGTTCTTTGGGTTTTATTAGCATTTGCAGCAAAGAGTTCGATAAAATTCAGTAGAACAAAAAGTGATAACAAAATTTTCAATGAAATCATTTTATGATTTTCTCTGAGAGATTCCTTTTATAAATTATTAATATAAAGAATTGATTCTAAATTACGTCTTAACAGTAATAGATGATCTTCACAACTGATCAATCTCAGCTCATTCTCATATGCTGTAAAAACATTAACTCAGTGTTTTATAAAACATGAATAAAACATTTAACATTCAACATCTCAATTATAATTCATTGTTTGTTTTCTTTACTATCAGCTGTTGTTTTAACAGACTTCTAGTAAAATCAATCTTAACATACTTTTGATCACCAGCGGAATTTATTGCATTCAAATGGTGATCATTATCAGCATAAATCAACTCGAATGAATCCTTGAATGTTCAAAAGGTTTTTCTCTCAATTAGATCAATTTATTCCAAAAATTTCTGGGAAGCGACACACTTTCAAGTCAAATTTTTTTTCGCGATACACCAAAGATTTTTGTGGTTTAATTTGGTGCAAAAAATGCTTAAAATTGAGTTTTATAGATTGAAAGTTATATTAAATTAATATAAAACAGTAAGTATAAAACTTTTAAAATCTTGACATAATTTTTTTGGTAATCCTGTATGTGTAATTCAAAAAAGTTTCTAATCTCTGGTAGATAAAGCTGTCCCTTATTTACCAAAACAAATAAATACTCTATTACTTAAACTTAAATTTCTCCACATGTGTCAACATTGAAACGATTTACTGGTCTTCTATTATCATGTAAATCCAATACAAAAAGAAAATAAGCGCAACGAGAACATGACGAATTCAAAAATTTTCTCCACAGTATGGTACCCTGTTTTTCATTTGAAATAAAATTCGTCGTTAATATTAGAAACGAAATTAGCTATCAGACCATTATTCACATATGGTTGTTCAGCATTTCAAAGCATGGCAAATACCCATCTTCAAAAACTTCGAGTTTTGACAAATTCTCAAAACAAGATATAAAAGGATCATAGATCTTGATACAAAAGCAAAAAATATAGTCCATTGAGGAGAAGTTGCAAGCGAAGTTCAACAGTCGTTTTGTATAGCGAAACACCGAAGAAATGAAACTAAACAAACAAGTAAAGCAAAAAACAGAAATAATAACAAAATGTAAAAGACAATAGGCAAATTAATGCCTTAAGCTTTAAAAATTAAAAGCAACAAATTGGATTAAAATTTTGTACATTCTTAATTTTAAATGCAAATAAATAATAAAGTTTAATTCAAAAAAATTGGAACGAAACAAATAAGTATGCAATATTTTTAAGAAAAGTTTTAAAAAATCCAAAATGACTTTTCATTTTAATTTTCTTATTCTATATTTTTAAAATTAAAATTTGATGACTTTTATAACTTGTTGGTTTTTTTTCTAAATATCTCGCCCAAAGTTTAGCTCTCCATAACTAAGGTAAATGTTTAATTCATTTTTGAATTTGCAGCAATTACATACTTGTAAATGCAATAAATTAATTTAACTTTCATGAAAATTAAAATTCATGCTATGTTTATTTACTCAATAAATATGACATAAAAAGCAAAAAAAAATTACGTTAATCAAAAAAATTGTGTTCGGAATAAGAATTATTTGTCCTGAATTAAGTTTTAAGTTAGATCGATAAAATTACAAATTGGTTAAATTCTTCATCTTTTAAGAGTCTGATAAGTTGTAAAACAAATTGAATTTTCTTTAATATTAAAGTTTTGTTGCGAAATTTTGTTACACAAAACATGGTTATTGTTAAATGAAACGAAGAACAATTTATAAAATAATTAAAAGTCTTCAAATTAATTTTTTTTATCTGTATTTACTTACTGATTAAACTTTAAAGGAAGAAAAATAGGAATTATGCATATATTCGTACCAATTAAAGTTCAATTCTCTTTTTTTTTTGAGAAATACGAGGTCACGATAAAGTGGAATCACAAAAGTTATTATCATAAGAGTTTAATCCTATACATCTTTCTTTTATGTTTCAGAAGCTGAACAGAATAAAAAAAAAATAATATCACACAAAAGAGAGCAGTAACAGCTACAAAAAAGAAGAGTAAATGTTATAATGTGAATCTCATCAAGTGCATATTCATTTCTTTAATTTGATGAAATGTAGCGAATAACGAGCATAAAATAGCATGATTATATTACGACTTTACCGCTTATAATCGTCTTTTGAAAAAGCATATCTTGCGATAATTTCATCATTTAGAAATGTATAAAAAAGAAAAGAAATGAGGAAAATGTGCATAAAGAAAAGATTTTAACGATTGGGAAGGAGACGAAAGAATTCTTATGAGACAAATATCGCGAAGACTTTAAGCGCATTTAAAAAAATTTTGGTTGCTTCTAATTAATTAAGAATTAATATTGTTAACATAATTGTATCTTATTGATAATCCTTTTAAGCACAGTTCTATTAAAATTCTCTGCTCTTAACTTTTTCTGTTGCTAGTCGCTTAGTCATAGCGCATTTCCAAAAAGCGCCTTAAAAGCGAATCAACTTCATTCTGCCACATTTTTTTTATTGAATTCGAATTAATCTTTTCAATCTTGTCACTTTGTGTGTCAGGTGTCAGGGCGAAAAATAATTTTTAAAGTGAAAATAAATTAATGCTTAAGTACATTTAAAGAAGAAAAAAAACATACACACGTATGAGCTGGCTTCCTTTACTTAGCGCTGCTTTTTATCTTTCTTCTCACTCAAAAATTTATTTTGGTTAATGCCCTCGACGATGTGTCACTGCCGATCCAATTTTTCAACATTATAACTTTCATCATCCATTACATTTTCTGCAGATCTCCTTGGTATGTTGACTTCTTTTCTCGCTTCTTTTTAATTTTATATTTATTTTAGAAATGTGTATAATTTAATTGTCTATTTAAACGCCTATTTAATTGATATGTTTACGTAAACATCTTAGTGAATAAATTGGCAAAAAAATAATATACTTTTTAATATGCACTCATTAATGAATATGTACTTTTTCTCTTGTTGTATCTCTCTATCTATCTAAATACAGCAATAATAATCAAAGCGGCATTTAAAGAATCAACAACCAGTTAATAATGAAAATAAAGTAAACTCATTATACGGCAATGTGAATAGCTTTTTTTGTTTGATTTTAACTAGTAAATATTTCAAGAAATGTTGCTTACCAAACCTTTAGTTATTAGTTCTATCTAGTCTGTTGCATTAGAGGTCATGGAAAAATTTTGGATAAATTTTTGAATTTTAAAAATGCGAATTATTTAATAGAAATTATCTTACAAGAATAAAAAAATCAAATTAAGATGTTTTTGTTTAAAAACAATTGCCCACACTAAAATTTCCACAACTTGAGTGAAAACATAAACGAAAGCATTAACAATATTTTTATGTTCATGAATGTAGATATAATGATGCAGGCACATATAGTAGAAGACAAGTTTACTAACTATATTACGATATAATATTGCCGTTTTATTCTTATTATTATTACTTTTTAAACATCATAAACTTAATAAAATTGCTCATTAGGCTAATGTGAACGGTAACTCCTTTCAACTCCATTCATTATATGTATGTGTAATTAAAATATTAAATTGACTGCTTGATGGAGTTAAGTATCTTTCAAATTATCATAATCTTGTCAACGTGTCATTTGAACATTGTTTATTAATACGCTTCATTTCGCTTTTCTTATTAATAAATATACCATGTCAATGCTTCTCTTCCAGCTATATATATGTAAGTACAAGGGAGAGGAAAGAGAATGAAAAAAAAAATGAGAAGGCTTAATAATAATTTGCATTTTCACCTGATTCCGTTTATTTCTTTTTCTTTCTTTCTTCCTTTTCAATTCAATGAACAACTTGTTTCTCCCTTTTTAATCGAATTGTAATCAGCCTGTTCGTCGCAATGTTCTCACAGTGATTTAACCCATAACAGATCCAGATATCTGAATCTTGCAATATTATTGAATATAAATATCGCAACTACGTAAACGTCAGATTTTTTATAATTTATAATATATGAAAGCGAAAATTCCAACATCTGGCTTGAAAATAATAAAAAGGAAGAGATGATGATGAAAATATATGTTAAATTAAGTTATCTTAAGCGAATTACGATAGCGCATTTTTTTTTTATTTGAATGATCCAATAAATGTCAAGTAGTATTTGAATTTTGAATATTAAATTGTGTTTTTGCAGTTTTTTTTTTTGGAGAACTTTAAACATTTTTTAAATGTCCTTAAGACATTTTAATAGTATTAAAATTTTTTCTATGAGCAACGGTTTACACTTAATATTATATAAACAAGTAAAAAGTTTAACTTACTAACCCGATACATTTAATTGAAGCAGTAAGATGCGAATGGGTAAGAAATAAAAAAAGATTAAAAACAAATAAAATTACTATGTAGACTATTTTCATTACTTTATATCTGTACCACGTGGCTTTAAAGACATAAATGTAAAGAGAAAAAAAATTCTTTCATTATTACCTTTGAAAGCGTTTATGTTATTACATTTTATGAATGTGCTGTATGTACATCCATAATTTAGATTACTTGGGGTGAAATAGCGAAGATGCACTCAAGTAAGATGAGAAAAATGGCTTTCGATATAGCAAATGGAAAGAACTTTACTGTTGTTATTGTAGAAAAAGAAGAACATAACATGCACTTTGATAAGAAATTTTATGCATAAATGGAATTATTTTATGAGAAATAATTAAACGTTAATACATGATAAAGACTATGCATATTTACATATCAAAAAGTCCACCAATATCGAAAATATTTCTCACCTTCTCTTAATCTTCTCTCTTTACTGTTGACATTTTATCATCATATTTACCTAACGAATAGTTTGACAGAATGCCGTTGCGATCTCACGATAAGTTTTATGTTATTAATCAATAAAAGAAAAGAGAAAAAAAATTTTTCTTCACATATGTCATTCGTTTTTGGTCATTTCTCATGTACACCTAAAAAGAGCTTCTCAAAAAAAATGAAAAATGTTTAAGAAAAGGAGATCATTTCATGCTATTTATGTACATATTGGCAAGTTCACGGTGCGGTGCAGTACAACGCTCCATAAAAGTGTAAAAGCGCATATTAAAAACTACATAATGGAAGTAAAAAATGATGATACAATTTACAAGAATTACAAGATAATGGCAATTTTTTTAGCACATATCTTTATGAGCATTGCATTTACATTGTTCACAATGTGCGGCGGCAAGTTTTATTAACTTTTAATGCATTTTATTTTATATACCTTCCTTTTTATACACACATTCATTCACAGTATATGCAATAAACATTTAACATTTTTTCTTTTCACAATAGTTATTGGTAGTTTTAATAAATTGTACAACTTCTTCAACCATGTGACTCATACACTTCAACATGCTTTTTTTTTTAAAGAACAGATGTGTCATTCTTTTTTATGTTTCTTTAAAATGTTTAAATTTAAATTTAATTACCTAAGTCCCAATTTAATATTTATTAAAATGTTTTATTATGTTTTATTGTTTATTATTATCAATAGATCTGATAAAAACTATCGTAGCCCACTTTTTTCAGACAACATACACTTCATTTTTTTGCAGAGTATTTGTTGATCGTCACTGAATCTGGTCCTATCATGATCTGGTATCTTAAAAAAGTTAAAACTCAAATCCATCTGAATAATAGTTTCAGTGAAGAATTAAGTATAATGGATAAAGCTTGCGCGTGATGTGCATCTTGTGCTTTAGTCTATAAAATCTCGATTGGTAAACGAGGACTTCATTGTCCATTCTTTTTATTTTTACTGTATAAAGTCAATTGAATTGAAAGAAAAATAAAAAAATGGGAAAGAAAAGAAATGGATAACTGTTTAATTTTCCATAAGTCTCGATCAATATTTGATTGCATAATGTGTGATTAATCTAACATCTCATATTTGTTAAACGCAAATAGATTATTTTCTATTATTCCGTGGAAAAGAGTCATGTATATACATTGAGATATAATGAAAGAAACAAAGATTATCTATGTGGATAGATTTATGATGGAAGATATAGTTATATTTAACAAAAAATAAAAGAGAGTGAGAGAAGCAAAAAAGGTAAGTAAGTTAGAAATGGAATGGAATATATAGCGCGGTATAACAACACAAAAAAAATTCGGACCCTCAAAGAAGTCAGTTGCTACTCTCATCACAGCACCACAAAATGTAATTCAATAATTACACACAAAAATATAAAAATTTTAAAAACGGAGAATGAGAGCAAGTTTAAGCTATCGAAAAAATAAGAGAGAATGTGAGGGTTCGATTGATATAAAATCAAGAGAGGAAGAGAGAACATGCCTTTGAGTTAAAGAAGAATTGATGATGAGGAAAAAAATATCGCCTCAAGCTTTTTCCCGTTGGCGATTGAGCAGTTTATGTTTATCGCTGTTGCTGAACGGTTGCACAGTTATAAGCCTCGCGGGAATAATCCAATAAAATAAAGTAACATTTTTGCAGTGCATGAGCAAGGCACAAAAAAAAAGTTGAGAAAAAAGAAAAGGAAAGAAGACAAGACAGGCTAAATTATATCGTGAAAAAGGAATAAACTGAAGCAGCGAATGAATAAAAAAGAACCAAAAAAAAACTCCATTAAAATTTATATACATCTGGATGGAAAAAGTGAAGTGCGATAAGAAAAATTGGCTTACATTTTTTGTGTGTTAAACTTTAATTTTCTCTTTAAAAGATTGCAAAAAAAATAAATAAGAATTCCAAGGATTCTACAAAGGGAGTAATAAATATAAATAAATTTTATATACATATTTTGTATAAAAGCACATTAATGTATATGCAGTTCTGTGTAGAAATTTTGTAAGCAAAAAAATTAATTAATTTTTTGTACCTCTGCTGTATTTGAACAATAAATCGAATAAACTTTTCATCTGAACAATTTAGTGAATTGAGCGGAAGCTGTCAAGGAAAAATTGTGCAATTTTAAAATTTGTCATAAAAAATATCAAAGAGGATTTTTTTTGTATCATGTTTTTATTTATTAAGTAATAAAATAAACCTGTGTGTATATTACTATACAAATCAAACGAAAAATTATTTATTTGAGAAATTTATTTCAAAGTGAGGTGCATTGGATGAAATAAACACCACACGAATGTGCAAAAAAACACGAATGAAAAGTCTTTAAGTTCTTATAGCACAAAAAGTAAAATAAAGAAGAATGTGCATAAGTTTTATGTGAAGATAAAGCATATTTCTCGGGAATGAAAACGGCAAACAGCGCGGAAAGATATTAAAATAAAATTAAATCTTAAAACGTGTGGAAAAATGAAAATTTATGCACATACCCTAGCAGAAAAAATATAAGAAGGCATACATAAATAAATAAGCAAATGAAAAGCAAAAAGTTAAGTTAAAAAAAAGAAAAAGAGACGAATGAAAAACGGAAAAAGAGAAATACGTCTTTAGCGTAAAAAATTGAATATTGAAAAATGCATTTTTACCATAAATTGCATTATATTCGCTTAATTGATAGTTTGTTCTCATGTGCTTCACAAACATCTTCCGTTTTTTATACATATTTCCACTGCCAACTAATATAAAAGATGCTTCTATGCAATTGTTACAAGATAGACATTTATAGAAGAACACAAAACGAAGAAAAAGATTTATTTCATGCAAGAATAATGTTGAACATGCTGTCATTATCATCATCGTTGTCATCAACTTGTGAAATTGGATTGATGATTTGTGCCTAATTAATTCTCATATTATAATCTAATAAATAACGCACATCAGCAACAGCATCAGCATCATCAACGATCATCGTGGTTATAAATATTTACACACTCAGATATAGATATAGGATTGACATATATATGTACACAGGAACAGGAAGAAACTATGATTAAATTAAAATGAGAATGGAAAATTTACATTCATGGATTCGAATTGGAATATTCATATTTATTGTGATCTGTGATTTTGTTCCAAACGTAAGTTGATATCCATTTTTTTCTCTTTCATTTACTATTCCTTTTAGTTCTTATTTTTTCTTTTAATTTAATGTTATTTTTTCATTTCATTTGAAATTTGCATTTTTTGCACTTTAACTTTTTATATATTTTTATATTTTATTTTGAATCTTAAATGGTTTTATTTTTAAAAACTCGAAACATTTTTTCATTTGTAGAGCTGGTTATACAAATTTATTCATAGTGTTTTAAAAAATAATTTCATAAATTTAATTTTATTTATTTTTATGATATAAATATTTAAAAAGTTTTATTAAATTTGGCTTTTCCGAGTACAACTCTGGAGTACAACTCTATCCTGTTGCAATAGTTTACATGCAGAACTCTATCTTGAATCGATTCCTTCAATTCACCTCGTGTTAAACTTAAACGATGTTCAATTTTTTTTTTCTCTTCCTTCTACATATTCATTTCATTTTATTTTTTCGCACACACCAGGCAGGAAATTTTAACATGCCACGAACACTTTACACCTCGCTCTTACTTGGTTTTATCTCAAATACGTGATAAAACTGCTTAAAGACTTCTTGATGACTTTTTAAACAAAAAATGTAAGAAATAAAATGCTAACATGTAAATTTCTTTATTTTCTCATCCAATAAGTCACTCTATATGGCTGCAAAGTGCCATGGAGAATGTGAAGCACTTCTTTCACGAGATTTTTTTTCTTTCTTTTATATTCATCATTATTTCAATTTTAAATAAAACAAGTAAAGAAGGAAAGAGAATATAAGAAAAGTGTAACATCTCTTTTATAAGTACAAAAGCATATATTTGAATATGGATTCACATTACGGTAGAATTCATAATTTTCCATAGCCTTGAATTTGACTCACAATGCCTTTTCCGCTGCGTTAATTATTGCGATATTGTCTCGGTAGATAAAGCAAGTTACAAAATTTTATGCGAGATAAGCATGACTAGCGCATTTGTCTGCTGATTATTCATACATATGATTATTTTATTTATAGCTATTTCTTTTTGAACATACCAATTCTCATGTTTTGAAGAAATTTTAAACTTTCTGATATACAGTCAGACAGATAAAATATGAAGCAAAACTTGTTATTCCAACTGGAAATGCGTTATAAGTATGAAGAAGAAAAGAATGAATTGAAATGAATGAATGAAATTGAAATAATACAATTTTATTCATCTTTTTATCTTTTCTCGAATAAAAAAAAAATTACTGAAAAGTTATTTAAGTGAGAGAAAACTTCTTTACTTAACAACTTCCAGTCTGGTGCGAACGAAAGATTAGAGGCAGAACAAAAAGATTATTTTAAAAGAATTGATTAGTTCAAATGGTGATGATTTAATAAGACTGTTCTAAATTCTTTAGCAGCACAAAAAACACACCTATTCATTTTACAAGCAATTAACAATTGAATTGAAATTGAGAATTAATTATAGAAATTTTTGTGAATCATTTATGGCTGTTAAGTTAAGAAGAATTTGATTGTTAATTAAAGTGAAATATTGTGAAATTTTCCATTATTATCTAAATGCATTGTACTAATTTTAATTGATGATAAAATTTTCCATTTAAAATAATTTAAAAAAATTTCTTTTTTTGTAATTATGAATGAAATTTTAAAACTCGAGTTTTAAACTTTATTGAATTAGATTAAGAATAAGGGAGTTTTAATATAATATTTCAATTTAATAAAGGATCTTAGTGTAAAATATTCACATTCAAAATTGTTTCAATAGTACATCATTACAAAGAAAGCAATAATTTAAGTGATATTGGAACAAAAACCGTAAAAATGAAACTATAAATTTCAAAAAAAAAATATTAAATTGGGCAAATTCATTTATATTTTCTTTTAAAACTCATCAGTCAGGTGCTTATTATTGATTAAACATTTTCAAAATGAACTACTTCTAAGCTCAGTAAAGCCGCTTGACCTGTATTTTTAGATATTTTAGTTGTTTGAAAAAGTGTTAAAGATAAATTCAATTACCAACAGATGGAGAAGTATTTGAGTGAATAAATAGAAAATTAGTTTGATGATGGAAACAATTTGAGAGCTAAACAAAAAAAATTCAACGTAGATTAACGTTATAGTTGCTGAATGGAATTTTTAACTTGTATCATTTCAATAATTTGGTATTTTTCAAATAACTTGATGCACATAGTTAAAAAAGTTTAATTTCATCGAATTGGAATATAAAATTTTATTAAATATTTGTTACAAAAAAATGTTACAAGAAATTCATGCAAATAATATTTATAAGATCGTGGATATTTTCGATGTAACTTTCAAAGTATATTGGATTTAAGCTGAACAAACGAGGTTCAAAATTCAATTTCATTTTAATTTACGTGATTTAAATAATTTGAAGATATTAATAAGGAAGTGCAGTACTGACTTTTATTGTTCCATAAATACTTGTTTCTCGAAATTACAATTTGTATTTAGAAATAGTGAAAAGATGAATTTGCAAGATATGATTCGTTTAGAGCTTCATGTTTTATTCACATTTCGAATGAATTTTTTTTTTAAAATAACTTCATATAATGCATTTATAAGTTTTAAATAACAAACATACAAGTTAATTAAATGTAAAATTAAGACATTAAAATGCAGTGTAATAAAATATTGTATAGCCATAAAGTAAACTAAAACAAAAACATAAAAGAAAGAAGTTACAAATGCAAGTTATTTCTAGGAATAAAATAGAATGATATTTCTATAGAGCATGAAATTATAAAATATTTAATTAATTCATCACATTTACTTCATTCTTTAAATTCACAAGATTCATTTTTTTCGAACTCTGTTAACATTACATTAAAATTTAGAAAATTTACAGAGAAATGATTCTTGATGCTACATTCCGATGCCTTAAATAAAGTAAATCAATTACATAAGACGTAAGCTAGTATGAAACAAATTCTTTGCATTGCCAATAAAAATACCAGGAATATCATAAAAACATTTCTCCTACCTCTTTCCTTTATCAACTCATATTTGCTCAAAGGTTTTTTTCTTTACCGTGCTTCCTTTTAAAAGCATGTATTTTGGAGGTTATAAAATTACTTAAAGATATTGATTTGTTTTTCATTCAATAATATATGATATAAATTGATAAATATTGAAAGAAGTTATAAATAAATAATTGCTATCATAATACAGTCATTTTTATCGCATATTTTCAAAATTCTTTCAATAGAAATATTCCTCATAATGAAATATGTTTACATCATCATCATCATCAGTCTGAGTATTATAAATGCAGAATTGATAAACAAATAAATAACATATATGTTTTTTTTAATCTAATACTCATTATATTGTCGCGTGGTGTCTAAAAACATTTTTCTCAATTTTTTAAAATGAGCCACCACGAATATAAATAACATGGTAAAATTTACAATGAGAAGAGATGGAGAAATATTCTCTCTAACTGAAAATGACTGTATTTAATAGATAAAACTGTTATCATCTCATAAAATACAAGATTTAAACGAATAGCGTTATTTTAATTCGTTTGTTCCTCACTTGGCTCTCTTTTTTTTTCTCATATATATAATATACATGTGATAATGATTTGAATCTGCGCTTTTCTGTTGCTTTTTTCTGTTTCTCTCGTGCTATATGCTTTATATGTGTGCCATATCTGAAACTAAACATTTTTTTTATTTTTATTATATATTTGTTACATACAAAGTGTGCTTGCTTTTTCTTTACAATTTATAAAGCGAATAATAATAATAAAAAAAGTTATGAAGCTACTAAGTTTGAAATAAGGATGATTTAGGCGTTTTTTTTTAAAAAACCAAATTCGAATTTAAAGAATAAAAACTATGGTTGGCTTCAAGTGTTTATGTGTCAGGGAATACTCCAGGCTAATGCTTTTATAGAATTAAAAATTTCATTACAGTTTTGAAATTTGTTACAGATTTGATTTGCATATCTAGACATTTTGAGCTGATTCTTAAACTATTTTGTATGTCAGCTATTTTATCGATATTTAAAGATTGAAAAAGTTATTTCTTTAAATTAAACAAATCTCATTTATTTAACCGAAAATGTGCTAAATAATCTTCATCTCATTTTATATTGAGAGTGACTAAAGATAATGGCCATATAAACAAGAAGCGAATGGTTGATAAATAGATAGATTGAAGCATTTTTTTCCTTTCCTTTTAACTGATTAAAATTCACAACGGGTTTTTTAGGCCTCTGATCGCTCTGATCATAAGATTTAAGCGCATAAGTTAATTCTCTAATCAAAAAAAAAGCAACAAAAGGCAAAAAAAAATTTTGTGTATGGAAAATTGGAATTTTTCTCTCCATCTAAAGGCGATTGCATCCATATATAGTTTGAAGCGAATAGTTGAGGCATTGCCAAGTAGAACTTAATTAAGATCTTTCTCCTTACCAAATAAAACAGTTTTGATATTTTGTACAATATAAAGTACATATCAATTCAATATAATATTATGTATGTTTATACACTACAGGCCAATATGTAGTATCTTCCCTTAAAAAGTAAACTATGGAAGTTTACAAAATCATGAGAGATTGAGAGAAGCAGTAACGGCAACAACAACAACAACAACAAATATGCAAGCAAGAATATAAAAATTAAACATTGAACAAATATGCTTATAATAAAAGATGTACTTATAAGGCACACATTCAATTCCACTTAAAAAAAGTCCTAAATGCAAAATATTTCTCACACGGTACTGTATATCTTTCGGCGAAAATATGTGGCTGTTCAATATGTACATACATACGAAGAATGTTTAAAAAAAAGCACAGCAATAAGAAGGTAAAGAAGCGAATGAAGAAAAGAAGAAAGAAGAGATAAAACGAGTAAAATAAGTTGATTGGAATTCAGTTTATTTGTTGCGTCGTTTTGCACTGATGTTCGCATCATGCATCAGGTGGAAAACTGCATTTTTATGCAAGTTTATATGTATTATATACACAACACAGTAAGAT